GATCCTCGTTGGGATTACCTTCCTTTGGGCTTGGAGGTTACAGATGATCAGACAATGACTCAGCTGAAGGACTAGCCTATGTTTCTGATAGCACATCTGTGGCTTCTGTTTTGTTAGGAATCTGTATTTTGCTATATGAGAAGAGTGAATCTCAATCCTTGACTCAAACCTTAATCAAGTCACTGCTTCAGGCAAATTTGTGCAAAAAGAAAAGAACTCAAAAAAGGTTGTGAAAATGAAACAGGCTCATAATTGTGGAATGGAAAGCATAAATATATATATATATTTTTTTAGCAATTTAGAAATGGAGTCCCAGACCGTCAAAAGTAGTTAGGTGACTAAATCCTACTTAGGCCTGTAAGAGGATACCTAAATTGTCATCGCTTCTTTGGTTCTGCCACAGTCTGGGCAACTCATGTAGTATTTATGCTCCAGTTCCTAATCCATCCAAACAGGAGCAATAATACCCACTTCCATCCTACGGAGGTGTTGAAGGAAAATTCATTATTATGTATGAGGTGCTCTGTTGCTACAGCACAGAGGCTTTAGACTAACTAGCTTGGGGACTGATGTTTCCAGAGCAGCACAAAACACGGACTATAAACCTCACCAGAGAAGCTGGGTAACTACTTGGTCAGTAAACCTGCAATAAGCTCTGCGCTACTGAAGTTTCCCTGGTGCCTACCTGTATCTGGAGGGAGGTGGCTTAAAGCTAGTTCAGTTCTATCTCAGTAAGCTGTAATCTAGCTGTGACCACGTATAAGTCAGACACCTAAAAACCTTTGAAGATCTGGGCTTGAAAGTCACATCATAGACATCTCATATGAGTTTCTGTATGTGCTTAAATTGCAAATAACCCTTGTCTACGTAACTCATAATTTTTAGCCACGGTGCTTATGGAAAGGGGAAGCAAATCCCCTTTCACTTACCAGCTTTTACTGGATCATGCAGCTCCAGGTGCTGGGGATTCTCAGAATCTGAGAGCATGTTGAGGTCCCTACAGAAAGCAATGAGAAGCCTGAGACAAAAGAAAATCTTTCTCTTGTACCCTCATTATTTTATTAGGTAGATAAATGAGAAGTGGTTAATGATAGAAAGCAGCTCCCAAGCATGGCCCCTTCTTAGCTGATACACATTTGCAATGCTGTTAAAGTCAAAGAGCTGAGGAAAAAGGTTCTTTTAAGGTGAAATCTTTAATGGATTGAATGTAAGTTTATACTGAAATACATACATGTTTCTCATGGTATTTAAATGAATTACTGCTTCCAGCTAAATGCAATGTGTTTCAATAGAAGTCACAAAGGGCTAAATTCTCATCTCCCTACACTGGCTAACCCCAATTAATTCAATGGGATGTGATTAGAGGATAATTTACCCTGAAAAGGGAAACATCATCATTAATGCAAACATGGTTAGGTAAAAATCTGCCTTAACGCATCAGGTTGTTGGGTTTTTTTTCAATTATTTTTAACAGAAAAAATAAATACAAACTTCAAAACTTGCACTGAACTCTTTTTTCTAGTTATTTACCCATATAAAAGTCTTTCACACAAGCAAAGGTTCCACCTTAACAATTGTAAATCAAAAAGAAGCCATGAAAAGCCAAAAAAATGGAAACAGAAAGATGGGGAAAAACTCACAGTCTTACACATATTTCTGCTTCCCCACTTTGTTGACTAATGATACTCTGGACTTCTTCGTAAGTTTTCCCAGTCAAGGGGATGCCATTCCATTCCAATACCTGCATTCCTAGGAAGGCAAAATAGCATGGGATTAAACTTTATCACCCAGTTTTCAACAGGAGCATAAGATTTTCAGGATGCTTACAGCATATGATTTAAAATGAAATGAAGAGAACCAGGTTGAAATGGTCTATTACATTCGCAAAGATCTTTCCATAAACACTAAAAAAATGTTGGATTTAGTGATAGCTTACCGTTCTAACTAGTTTGCCTGAAAAGGAAGATGTTACTCTATAAATAAAATTGACTGAACATACTTCTGACTCTAAATTTGTACTCTACAGTCTTGAGTTGCACAAAAGTGAAAGATTTATATAATGCCAAAACCACATGCATAGAATACGTATCAGACACTTTTCTGGCCAGTCAACATCTTGAAGGCTTCTGCTGGCATGCCATATTTGCTGGCAAAGTGACACTGAATAGCTGTGGCTAGAAATGGAATACCAGACATGCTTTATGGGAGAGACCGGTAATGCTGGACTATTTTGTATATCTGGTCAATTTAGCAGAAAAAGAACAGTTAAAGGACCAAATCAATGAAGATAGGCTTATTAGCTTCAAGTGAAGACCATGCTCAAATGTCTGATACCAGTTGTGCTATCTTGGATCCTGAACAAGTTCAGAAACGTATTCTGCTTGCTTATCCTTCCTCATGAGATGATAACACTGGGGGAGAGACATCTACTGGGTACATGAATTAAGAGCCAGGTTGAACAGAGTGACCTAAATATTTACATTATCATACTTGTTTCTACTAACTGTCATGAGGCCTAATCCAAAGACTTCTCTTGGGAAATAATTTCATGAGCTGGCCCACTGAATTCCCAGGAATGAATCATTATGTTTGCCACTAAGTCTTGTAGCCTCAAAGGTCTTCATGAATTACTTGGGAGACCTGACAATATACTCAGATGGCACATTTTGTTTGGCTACTGTGAATTATT